GTCAAGGACTTTTACCCGCTGAATCACCTTGCCTGCCAGAAAGTTTTGTTGATTTGTTTATTTTACAAGATTTCTCTTGACGGGGCAAGAGAACAGACAATACAGTATTTCTTCTCTAAAGACAGCTTTGGGGGTTGATTAGAGAGTGGATGGAGTCTTAATGACCCAGAAGCCTTCCAGCCACTGGGACCCACTGTACACAGAGGGCGCCAGAGGGCCTCTGGCCAGGCACTGTGCTCAGTGACACCTTCCGTCCTTTTTTTATTTTATTTATTTAACCAGACTTGTAGACCATGCTGTGCCCCTTTAGCACTCTGGGTTGATTGCTTTGTGTATTTTTGTTTGGTTTTGGTTTTTCGAGACAGGATTTCTCTGTATAGTCCTGGCTGTCCTGGAACTCACTCTGTAGACCAGGTTGGCCTCGAACTCTCTGAGATCCACCTGCCTCTGCCTCCTGAGTGCTGGGGATAAAGATGTGTGCCACCACACCTGGCCTGCTTCATGTGTTGTCATGTCTCAGTTTAAATTCTGGAGACCCCCACCCTACCCCGTGTAACTTGTCATTTCTTTGACTACATTAGCAGAGAGGACTGGAACAGGGAGATGACGAGAATAGTTCCATATAGAAAAAAAAATGGAGACTAACACTTGACTTCTGCTTTAAAATAAAACCATGGCTAGAGAATGGATTCATTAAGTCAGAGGATGTTGGGTCTGCTCAGTATAGAGAGCTTGCCCAGGAGGCTGGGGCCGTGGATTCCATCTCCTGCACACCAAACAAGCAAAAAAGAAACTCCCTGTGTAACCTAGGCTGCCCCTGACCTGGCATTCTCCTGACTCAGCCTCCTGAAGCACTGTGGAAAGCCCACATCCCCCAAAAGACAGCAGAGCTTGCATGCTCTCGGGGCATCCCTTCCACTCCATGATAAGGGACCGTTGTCAGAAAAATAGAGAAAATGTCGTCATTTCATGTGCTGGATGCTGTTAGTATTTTTGCTGTGTTACTTTCCAAACTCTTAATTGATATATCAAAACTTACAACAGGGAGCTGGAGAGACTGTACGGCAGTTAAGAGCGTCTCTTACGGAGGACCCAGGTTTGATTCTCAACGCCCATGTGGTAGTTTCAGTTCTAGGGGATGCAATGCCCTCTTCTGGCCTCTTTAGGAACCTCATCATGCATATGATGCACATAAATACATGTAGTCAAAATGCTAATACACATAGAATAGAAATGTATAAATCTTTTTAAAAATCAGCTATATTGTATGGGTCTATTTTAAGATGCTGTCTCAATATGGAGTCCAGGCAGGCCTGGACCTTCAATTCTCCTGCCTCAGCTCCTCACCCCAAGTGGTGGGATAGCAGGTCCTTCCATATCATTTAGCTTAAGTTTGCCAGCCTACAGAAACACTTGCTGGTGTTTTGCTTCCATCTAATATCTAAAGCCTGTTTTGATCAAGGATATTTCCAGGTGTCTTCACTTGACCAGAGGCATCTTTGAAGCAGAAAGCACATTCTACTCGTCTTTGTAACTTCCAGCACCTAGTGTAATTCCTGGCATACAGTAGGTAACCAATACATACCCGCTAATGAAGGCATGGATGGATGAATTAAAAACCCAGGACTTAGCCGCTGCGGGGAAGATGTGAGCCCTGTAACAGTGTGGCAAGACACGCCCGTGGCTGCAATAGTGGCATGAATGCTACTTTCTGGTTGGATATAAGATTCACTCCACAGGGGGAAACACATGCCGGTACTGTAAATCTGACTAAGAACCCATAGCTGGGGAGCACTTGTGGATGCTACTTTGCTACATGCAAATAGTATCACACTCCCCTCTAAATCCGTGTCTCTCTACCCCACAGCTCTCAGACTTCATCAGAGAAGTTTCTCGGCACAGTGGTCATGGTTAATACAGAAACCAACAACTAGTCAAAGTGCACAGAATAAATGTCAGTGGAGTGTTCGGTCACAAATGGGACATCTATGTCTCTCTCACACACACACCCTTGAAGCTCAGGGACCATCTCAGAAGGAGTGGGAGATAAGAGCCAGAGGTCAGAGAGGACTGATCTGGACACAGCAGGATGCTACACTCATGAACTCACAGAAGCTGCACAAGATCAAGCCAGTCGATGTTCCATAACAGAGCGGGGATGCGCTCATGAGCCCCATCTATAGCTGGGGACCTGTGGGTATAGTGGCACCTTGCCTTGCCAGTACACTGTGGTGGTGGCCACACCCTTTGGGCGTGGCTTCAGGTGCAGACGTGACCCTTTCTAAGGTAGAGGAGGGTTTGGCTCGTGCTCTCTTGGGTTGCAGAGATCATCAGAGGGGCAGAGACTGCATCTTCTGGAGCAGGAAGACCATGGTGGTTATTTATTGTTATTTGGGTGTTTCCCTAATAAATACCTATTTATCATTTATCTTGGGTCTGGTGGACTCATTTAAACCCTGCCTTCATGTGGGTACTCTGTGGCTTCTGTGGGAGGAAGAGTCGGTTTTTTTTAAAGATTTATTTATTTATTACATATACAATGTTCTGCCTACACGCCAGAGAAGGACACCAGATTGAATTGTAGATGGTTGTGAGCCACCATGTGGTTGCTGGGAATTGAACTCAGGACCTCTGGAAGAGCAGGCAGTGCTCTTAACCTCTGAGCCATCTCTCCAGCCCCGAGTCGGTTTTTTTTTAAGGATAGAGCTACACATAAGTTGTCCACACTCCAGTGGATAGCCCCATACCCATGCGTGTATAGGTAGCACACATTGAATTCAATGGGCTTAAAAGGGGAGACAGAGAGTTGGCAGGGAGTAGGATGGGGTTAGATGTAGGAGGGGGTGAATATGATCAAAATGCATTATATGCATATATTAAATTGTCAGAGAAGTAATAAAATATGTTAAAATATACCCCACATCAAGAAAACAAGCCTGGCGGTGGTGGCGCACGCCTTTAACCCCAGCACTTAGGAGGCAAAGGCAGGTGGATCTCTGTGAGTTTGAGGCTAGCTTGGTCTACAGAGCAAGTTCTAGGACAGCTGAGGCTATCCAGACAAACCCTGTCTTGAAAAAACAAAAAAAACCTCATGATGCCATTCAAAGAGACATTTTGCAACCCTCCTGCCTAGGTAGGCTAACCTATAGGTTTTAACCTTCATCTTTCAGAAAGCTACGTGCCAACATCACATTCATGTGCCACCAATGCCCAGCTAGACTAGAAATCGAAGTCACCTATGTCACCACCATCACAATCATGTTTTATTGTCTGAGACAGGATCTTTCTGGCTGGTCTGGAGCTCGCTGTGTAGACTAGACTGAACTCCCAGAGCTCCTCCTGCCTCTGTCTCCCAAGGACCACAATGCCAGAGTTGTCTATCCATTCGCTTCCAGCTTATTTATGTAACACCTCCAGTTCATCTTACCTATTTTGGCTAAGTTTTTTCCCTGTAACCTAAAGCTGGCCTGGGTGGTTTTGATTGCGTGAACTCACCCCATGCACAGATTCTTCTGTGTACACTTCTCACACACCCTGGGACAGCCCAAGTCATCAGCTAGCAAGAAAATAGATATTGCAGTCTTAGCGTATGCTAGAGAGTGGACAAGAGGAAGAGATCGCAAAGCGTCATCGTTGCCCTGAAGGAGTCTGAAGTGTGACTTATTGCATGGCGACTGCACAGCATATGCTCCCTTTGGCACGTAATTACTCCTGTCACTCAGAGTCACAAGTCTCCCTCTTCTCTGTTGAAGGCAGCTGTGTGTAGCCCGAACACTCCAGCCCACCATGGCCCAGGACTCTGTGGGGGAAAGCCTTGGTTTCTCTTTGACTCCTGTCCCTTCAGGATGAGGCTGGAACATCCGCTTCATCAGTCTTTGAGAGGACCAATCCGAGGGCAAAGGTTAAAAATGAGCCACAGAGCAGATGTCTGCCGCCCACACTTACCCACACTCCTCTTGGAAAAGGCTTTTCCTTTCCACTAAGTATTAGAAAAACTGCCGAGCCTTGTGCTTTCTTTCTAAGGCCGACACATCACCAACCTTTCAGATCAGGATGAAGGACTCTCCTATTGCCACCATTCTGCTGTAACTAAGAAAGTCCGGCATGCGCCTCATGTGTGGCCTGGAAGATTCATTGTCTGATGCTATCACAGGGGTCAAGAGGGTCAAGTGTAGTTCCTGTCTCAGCAGCCAGCAGCATGGCCTTACAGTGTCTTCCTAGTGTCCCTTCATCTCCCTTTCCTCAAAGATTTAACCTTCTTTTTAAAAACCTGTTCTTACCTATGATTACTGTATTTTATTGTAGAGATGTTTTGTCCCTGTGCACATCTGTGGATCACTTGCTTCTCTGATGATTTAGGAGGCCAGAAGAGGGTGTCAGATCCCCTGGGCTGAAGTTGATGACTATTGTGAGTCACCAGCCACGTGAGCACTGGAACCAAACTCTGGCCTTGCAAGAGCAGCAAGTGCTCTTAACCGCTGAGTCTCTTCAGTTCCTCTCCACAGCCCTTAAATGCTGCTGCTCCTAAGCATCTCACTTTGTCTACTGCCCTCTCCCCTCCTCCTTCTCCTCCCTCTCCCCTTCCACCCTCCTCCCTCCCCCCTTCCGCCCTCCTCCCTCCCCCCTTCCACCCTCCTCCCTCTCCCCTTCCACCCTCCTCCCTCCCCCCTTCCACCCTCCTCCCTCTCCCTTCCACTCTCCTCCCTCTCTCCTTCCACCCTCCTCCATCTCCCCTTCCACCCTCCTCCCTCTCCCCTTCCACCCTCCTCTTCCCTTCCACCCTCCTCCCTCTCCCCTCCCACCCTCCTCCCTCTCCCCTCCCACCCTCCTCCCTCTCCCCTCCCACCCTCCTCCCTCTCCTCCCTCTCCCCTCCCACCCTCCTCCCTCTCCTCCCTCTCCCCTTCCACCCTCCTCCCTCCCCCTTCCACCCTCCTCCCTCTCCCCTTCCACCCTCCTCCCTCTCCCCTTCCACCCTCCTCCCTCTCCCCTTCCACGCTCCTCCTCCTTCTCTTCCATTCACTTTTGGGCCACTTCCTCTGTCCTGTTAACCCTAACAATGGCCTTGTGGGAGGAGCATATTGGTCTTGTCAGTGGGCAGTGCGTCTCTGGACTGTACCGCCATTCGTTTCTGTAGTGGGCAGAGACTCAGAACTGGTCAAAGTGCTGAGAATGAGTGACTATTGAGTACTCAGTTCTAAATGGGACATCCCCTGCGCAGAGAAGATGAAGAAGCAGTAAGGGGAGGAGCTGGAAGGAAGGTGGAGTGATGTCATGGCACTCCGGATGCACAGTCGCTAGGTGAGTGACACAAGACATCCACAGGATTGGGCCTATGGGCATGCTGTCCTGGGGGCAGGACCTGATGAGGCTATGCCCTTCCCTGGTGAACTGCTGGCAGCTGAGGGGCAGAGTTGTGACCACTGGTAAGTTGCATAACTTCTCACCCATTCTCATGTAACCCTAATTAAAATCACAGGGCTAGAGACATGGCTCAGTGGTTAAGAGCACTGGCTGCTCTTTGAGAGGACCCGGGTTCAGTTCCCAGCACCCATATGGCAGCTCACACACTCTTAACTCCAATTCCAGGGGATCTGACGCCCTCTTCTGGCCTCCTCTGGGATTTGGCATGCAAGTGATTCATAGACATACAGGCAAGTCAAACATCCCCATATTTAAAAAAGTAATAATCTCAAAAATAATTTTCAGTTGTTGGGACACACTTACATAAAAAGACATCTCAAAGGAGCATACAACCTCTTTATGCAGGAAGCCTGATCAGCTGAGGGGGCAGAAGGAGGGAAGGTGACAGCTGGGTACCCCTGAGGTCCCCCACTCACAGAGGCTCTTACTCATTGCCTCTAAAGAGCCAAATGTGGTTGTGTCACAGTCACCCACGGAAATGGTTAAATTACAGACTTCTGGCCCCTACCCTAGCACACACCTTCTGAACCAAAAATTTCAAAGAGGAATTAGTCTAAGAGGCAAGGGACATGGCTCACATTAGTGGGGGTCTAGATTCCATCCCTTACACAAAAAAGCCAGAATCCGAGTTCTCACGTACCTGCTTGGTGCTCTGGGTTCAGCACCACGTGGGAGCCGAATGTGAAGATCTTTGTGCCTTGCTGCCTGCAAACCCAGCTCCTTCCCTGGCTGTCCCTGGGTCACAAGGGCAGCAGCATGGTTAGTCATTCCGTGACCTGCTTGCCTTTGCCTAACCTGTGCTTCAGACTTCCTACAGGATGCACACTACTGCCTTGTATGAGGCAGTGGAAACGGCTGACTCACTCCAAGAACTTTGAAACCTGCAGATAAAGCACAGTGCCAGTCCCTCACTGTACTTACCGGCCGGCACACCAGAGAGAACCTTCTTGGAGGCAATCATGAGGCTCTCCCCCCACACATCGGTCCCCTGTGACCTACCTGACTGACCCCATCTCACAATGCTCTTTGAGAATCACAAGGCAAAATATTTCTTTTTAAGGGCTTCTTCCCGGGATCTACCTCAGCCCAGAACCTCGTGTTCAATTCAGCTCTGAGCCTCGTCCTTGTGGACCTCAAATGCTCGTTAGTTTATCTGGCAGCAGTCAGCATTCCACTGGGTGAAGGGCGACCTGATGATGTCTTTGCTGGGCGGCCAAATGTCGCAGCGGGGCCAGTAGCTTTTATCCTTCAGATACTGAATTTCACATCTATCAATATTATCAGCTCAAATATTGTCATTTTTATAAATGAAAACTGACTGACCATAAATCATTCTCTGGGCAGGTCATTGTCGGGAGAAAGTGGTCATTCAGTTCACAAGCTGGCCAGCCAGGTGTGTCTATTTAGAGCCAGCAAATCTGGCAGGGCGAGATAGCTCTCCCATTCATTCCTTCTCCTGCAGAACACACTCAGGCAGGATAGAGGCAATCGCTAGCAAGCCCCTGCCTTGTAGGCCCCGTGACCTTGTTTGTAAGATACGTTAATGTTGGCCCGTGCTTTCCCCAATGTTTAGAGCCACAGGTTGGAAGCTACTGATGGTTTACGTCAGTAGTTCTCAACCTCTCCAGTGGTTCTCAATCTTCCTAGTGCTGCTACCCTATAACACAGTTCCTCATTTTGTGCTGACCCCAACCATAAAATTATTTTTGTTGCTACTTCAGAACTGTAATTTTGCTACTGCTGTGAATCTTAATGTAAATATCTGTATTTTCCCATGGTCTTTGGGGTCTGGATCCATAAGTTGAGAACTGTCAGTTTAGAGATTGAGGACATGTGGCAGTTGCTACTATATAGTCACTCATCCCCCGCCCCATAGCAAGCATATTCCTGAGATCTAGTTCAACTCTTCCAGGTTGAGATGAAGTTTCATTATCATATAGATCCAATCATTGAGTACTGAGTATGGGTAAACCACTAGGATTGTGAAATTCTGTTTTAAGACCACAAGACTGGGGGTTGGTGTGATGCCTTACTTAGCCGTGTGTCTTGTAAAGTTACCTGTCCTCATTCTCCAGTTTTGTCTTCCATAAAAAAGAGGTTGGGGCCGGGCGTTGGTGGCGCACGCCTTTAATCCCAGCACTCGGGAGGCAGAGGCAGGCGGATCTCTGTGAGTTCGAGGCCGGGCTGGACCGATAGCTTCCGAAACAATACAGAGAAACCCTGTCTGGTAAAAACCAAAAAGAAAAAAGAAAAAAAGAAAAAAAGAGGTTGGGTTTTCATGATGACGAAATGAGAGATAAAGAGTAAAGCCTGAGAAATGCTTTCTTGAATGATGAATAGAGTCATTATTGTCTCTGACAATTGACTGTGTATGAATGTGAACTAACTGTACGGGATGCTGATGATATTTCATGTCGACAGAGAAGCAAAGGGCTGGAACTCAGTGGTTAAGAGCAATGGCTGCTCCTGCAGAGGACCTGGGTTCAGTTCCCAGCACCCACAGGGCAACCCACAACCATCTGTAACTCCAGTTCTAGAGAATTAACCTGCCTGGGCCTCTGTGGCCAGGCCCCCAGGATACAAGCTTCAAACATGTGTTTTCAGAACCTGGACTTTCATAGCCATAGGGTGACTACAACTGTGGCCAGTGGCAAAGATTCCCAAGATTCTCAGTTCATGAGCTTGAATCCAACAGTACTGCCTTGACCTCTCTTCCAAGGGGCAGCAGGAGAGAATAAAGACAAGTGGCTCAAGAAATCCTGCCTTTGCAGGTTCTTAAGTCTCAAGTATGTTGAAATTACCCGCAGTCTTTACTAATATTGTTATTGTGTTATTTTTGCAGTGTTGAGAAGAAAACCCAAGGCCTTATGTGTGACAGACATGTTCTACCACTGAGTTACACCACTGCCCTGGAGGCCACGTTCGACCACGGCTTTCTGACTCAGTAGGTCTGGGTTGTTGCCTAAGACTGCATTTTCTAGAAGCTTCCAGGTGACACTCATGCTGATCCAGGAAGCATGCTCTGAGAGACTCTGCTTCGTCTGTGATACTCACCTAAAATATAATGTCACAGTTCAATTATTCCAGAGCAGACCTGGCCTTCCTACCCCAACACTTCCACACTTTCTCGTTGATCCAAGGCTCCCTGGGGACTGTCCTCACTACCCAGGTCTCTGTCTCAAGAGAGCTGATAGTCACTTTCACCCGTAACTCTTTCTTAGGGGGCAGTGAGACAGGAAACATGCGGGACAGGACACTCCCATGACAGCGAGTTGAGAACCCTGGCTTCCCAGGCATCAGCCTTGGGAGTCTTTAGGTGGCACACACTTTCCCACGTCACTGTCACCCTCCCGCAGGGTCACCATTTTCTGCCTTCATGTTCAACAGGTTCTTGGTGTCTGAGGCAATTGAACCGGGGTCTCCTCAGACACGGGTGACTTTAAGAGAAATATGCACCAGGTACAGACAAGGAAAGAGGACCGTGAAGACAAGGGCTCTGGTGGGCAGGCACCGTGGCTTTGTGGCTTTCTAGAAGAAACACAGCATCAAAGGCTGATTTCCCCATGTCAACCCCTTGTCCTTGACTTCCCTGCCTTCTGGGTCTTGCATAGTTTCCCAGTGGCCTCTGGGAAGGAGCCTGAACCTCTCTGTCTTCCTCCTCCTTCCAACTCCCCTACAGTCATCACACCTTACTTTGTCCTCAACACTGCTTTTCTTTTCCCTGCCTTAGCCAGCCGGCAGGAGGGTCAGGGCACACACTGGCAGCTCTTCACATGTGTGGGATACAAACATGGAAAGTGCCCCCACTACCCTGCGGGTCACCCATCCAGAGGGCGGAAGAGGGCAGAAGAGGGCGGAGCACTCTCTGCACCCTGCAGACCTTCCAGGGCATGAAGTCCCTCACTACCCTACAACAGTCCAGGCCAGTGCTTATGGCTTTTGTGCACAGACTGAGGACTGACCTGAAGCCTTGTGTGTGAGTAAGCGGATGACACTGAGGTCCCACTCAGAACAAGCAGACGCTCCACACGCTTGCCTCCATGATAGCCTGGGACATGGTGAACCTCCCTGGGTGGCGTCTATCATCTGCAGCCTGTGGTGGCTCGTTTTAGTTGTCAACTTGACTTCATCTGGAATTCACTAAAACCCAAGTGGCTGGGTATGCCTGTGAGGGTTTTTTTTTTTAATTAAATCATTTGAAGTGGGAAGACCCCCTTTCCATCCAGGTGTTCTGAGGTGGGAAGATTCACCTTTAATCTGGACCACACTGTCTGGTGGCAGCCTAAAGGACATGGAGGAAGGATGCTTGCTCTCTTTGCCTGCTTGCACTCACTCTTGCTGACAAATCCATTCCTTCTCTGGCATTAGAGCCAACTTCCTCAGGACTCCAGCACATACTGAAGAGCAGCTGTGACATCAGCCTCGTGGACTGAACAACTGCTGGATTCTTGGACCTTCTGCTGGGTTAGCTGGACCACAGCCTGTAAGTCATTCTAATAAATCCCCCTTCTGTATATATATTCATTCTATAAGTTCTGTTCCTCTAGGGTTAAGACCCCTTTGGAGGGGGGATCAAAGGGCCCTTTCACAGGGTCACATATCAGATGTCCTACATATCAGATATCTACATTATGATTCATAACAGTAGCAAAATTACAGTTATGAAGTAGCAATGAAAATAATTTCATGGTTGGGGGGCCACCACAGCATGAGGAACTGTATTAAAGGGTTGCAGCATTAGGAATGCTGAGAAGCACTGCCCTAGAGAACCCTAGCTAATACAGGGTCCAAGTTCCTTTGCTCAGGCCCTCCTGGGCCTCTGTTGTGCTGATGAACTTTGTTTTTAGTCCTCCTCCTTTCCTGCCTTCTTGCCTCCCTTCTGTCCTCCAGGAGTCACTGTGAATCAGTGTCCTGTCACGGATGTGGTGAAGGAGGACATCTCTTGTGGCCAATCCCGGAAATCTGAGCCCCTGGAGGCCCCGGGCCCTGTGTAGGCCTGACACGCATTCGTAGCTGTGGCTTTTGCTCTTAGAACCAGGTGAAGCTGTGTCAGAGGAATGTTCTAGACTTGGGGATGACTCAGCAACACCGTGTTTTTATCCCAACTCAGCAGGCACACGGACAAGCTCCTAGTTCTTAAGCCTGATGAAGGTCCACACCCGTGGAACCATGGCCAGCACCCCAGTCGCTCTGCACAGTCCTTCCTGGTAACCACAGCCCTAGGTCTGCACAGCAGAACTGCCTGTGCCTCGCTTGGAACTTCATGTTCCCAGTCGCTGCCCTTTTGTCTCTGCTTTCTGTCTCTCCACTGCCCTTAGGAGGCTCACACGTTTTGCACACCCCTGAGTTCGTTTGCCTTCTCTGTCTGAACACATTAGGGCAGATTTGTCTCCTCTGCTGTGGACAGAGCCTTGGATAGTGTCCAGCTCAGGATAGTAGGGACAGCCCAGTGTGTGCCCCTTGATGAACTGTGCATGTCTTGTTGGTTATGTGTCTGAGAGTGGGTCACAGGGCATACCTGTCCAGATTTTGTTGGTGCTACCCAAGGGTTTGGCAAAGTGGTTCTGTTGATTGTATGTGTATGCACAGTTCATCAACTTGGTACACTCCAGAATCCTCATTCAAGCATTTCTGGTAGGTAGATGGGTATGTATCCTCCATACTGTGTTCTCCAAACTGGTGATTCTTTTGAGCATCTTTTTATAAGTTTAATGACAACTTGAATATCTTCTCTTGTTTGGGGTGTTTTTAAAATTTTTCTTTTTTTGTTTTTGGTATTGTTTTTGTTGATGTTGTTTTGTTTTCTGAGACAGGGTTTCTCTGTGTAACATCTCTGGCTGTCCTGGAACTCACTCTGTAGACCAGGCTGGCTTTGAACTCAGAGATTCACCTGTCTCTGCCTCTGCCTCCTGAGTGCTGATTAAAGGTGTGCGTCCCCCAGTTCCCTTCAGTGTAAGAGAATACTGAAGAACAAGGAGACTAAGTAAGACACACCTAAGCATGCTCCCGAGTCCGGATTTAACTTCAGGCCCTCTCACCTCTGAGCTGCTGCGTTAGCCTCTGTCCCATCCAGTTCCCTGTCCCTGCCACCCACATTACTAAATACACACAAGAGATTGTCCAAGCCTGGCATTTGGCTGTGCAAGCCTGTCCCCAGACTTGAGCCTGCCTTCCAATCTCCTCTGGTCACTGGACTGGGTTTCCGGGGGTGTGCTGTGAGGTTTACACCCATGACAAGTCTGTGGCTCCTCCCAGAACCCCTCACCCTGTCACTCCCTTAAGGCCCTCCCTTCCAGGGACTGGGCTTCTGTTCCCCTTCCCCAATCTGATCCCAATATACCTAAGCCATTTGGTTTTGTGGGTGTCTTGGACCTGGGCACCTCTCTTGAAGTCTCCTCTCCTACTTCCTCCCCGTTTCTCCTCTCAAGGTCTGGTTTCTTCTGCCCGCCATGTTCAGCCTGGACTCTTCCCTCTGCCCACCTCTTCCCCTCTATCTACGATGAAGGCCTTCTCCACACTTTAGGAGTGGTCATGACTTCCTCCTTTTATTTCATGTTTTCAATCAAACATGTCTCAGATTTTTCCAAGACAGTCCTGACAGAGCAAGCCTGTGTCACAGTTAGATACATACTCTGCATCTTTAGCATGGAAGACACACAACCTGGAACTGTCACATTGTGTCCTGAACTGGAACTTTGAAGACAGTGACTCCTTCCTGGCCTCTTCGTTCTCTGCTCCCCTTGTGTTTACTCTCTTGTGGTGGTGAAGTGTTGGTTACTGGACTTTCATTTTGGGGAGGGAGGAGCCACACTCAGTGCCTTGAGTCCCTGTACATCCTCACTTCAATAACGCCTAAGAGGCAAGCCCACCCAGATACATCTGGGGCTCCCCATCACCAAAAGCCATCGAAATATGCAGGGTGCAGGTCCTTCTACACCAGCCCCCAGAAAGCATACACTGGCCTGGATGTGACTCTTTCCCTCTGGTGCCCACAGCCCTGTCTCGGCCCTAAGCTTACCTTTGGTCTTTTCTCTCCATTTTGTCTCTCCCACACACAGACCACTCATGACTCTGACGGAATCCCTCTAGTGTGGTCCAGGCTGAGCAGCAACTGGCACAAGGCCGAGGGTTCCATCCCCAGTGCGTACCCTGATCAAAAATAAGCAAAGAGGCCGGGCGTTGGTGATGCATGCCTTTAATCCCAGCACTCGGGAGGCAGAGGCAGGTAGATCTCTGTGAGTTCGAGGCCAGCCTGGTCTACAGAGCGAGTTCCAGGACGGCCTCCAAAGCCACAGAGAAACCCTGTCTCGAAAAACAAAAACAAAAACAAAAAAACAAACAAAAAGCAAAGAGGAAGAAAGAGAGATATTGTTTTTTAGGGGCACAAGCCATGAAAAAGTAGCCACACAAGCTGTTGCTGATTGATTGAGATAAGGTCTGGAATTCACAGCCTGGCCTTGTTGAGCCTTCAGGTGACTGCAGTTTGAACTGATGTGTCAACTACCTGATATATCAAGTCAGCCTACCCAGCCCTTCCCGAGTTCTTCTTCAACGATGTCTTGAGTAGAGATAAAATAGCTGTGTGGAGTTACTAAACATTGGGCACAATTTGTAGCATAACAAGAGAAGCAAACAGATTCTGGAAGTGGGGTATTCTGAAACAAAACCTGCCGTGTGTGTGTGTGTGTGTGTGTGTGTGTGTGTGTGTGTGTGTGTGTGTGTGTGAGACATCGGCATATGACATATGTATATATAATACATATATGTGTGTATATATGTGACATTGCTTTGTGCATTGATGGCCAATTGAAGCTGAGAGCACACTGACTTATAGAAAGCTTCCTGGGGACTTTGTAAGGTGGTGGCAGGATTTAGAAAGAGGATAAAGGGGGTCCTATCCATAACATGGCAGAAAGGTTAACAAAAACTTTGCCCATGGGAAGCAGACAACAGCAATGAAGAAGCGAGTCTGCTCAGCAGGGATTCAGGCAATATCCTTAGGGCAACAGGTTTCGATGAAGTAAGGGGAACACGCCTTTCAAATCAGACTCTGTGCATGGAAGGAACCTCGACTCTCCGTCTCATCAGACATCACAGAAAAGATCAAATCCCACATGTTGACAGGTGAATGTCCCACGAAAAAAATAAAACCGAATGTGTGTCCATAGAAGAACTCTTTGTTAAAAATCCCGGAAGTTTGATTTCACGGGTCCTTAAAACATGTAACTGATGTTGAAGATCTTGTCTGGTGGGCCCTGTCTGTAAACACCCCAGGGTTCCTCGGGATTCTTTTCACAGAGTCTAGCCACATGCAGGACTGTGGCAAATATCATGATTTAAAATCAGGGTGGGGTCGTCCTCCTTCTGCTATCAGATGGCAGGCCCCAGAAAAGAAGGCGACACATCTAGCCCGGTGGACAGCAGCTGATCCCAGTCACTCATTTTCTAGGCTTCCCTGGATGTGGGCCCAGGAGTGCGGGGAGGAGCAATCCCAAACCACTCAGCACTTAGCATTCCAAGGCAGAAGCAGGATTGTCATAAATTCAAGGCCAGTTTGTTCTAGGTAGTGAGTTCCAGACCAGCCACAGCAGGCTTAAAGCAATAGTCGCAGATAAATTTTATCCCAGAGTCTGCAATTTAGCTGGGTTTGGTGGAGGTATGTGGTAATGTCAGCTGGGGACCAGAGGGCTCACTTCCAAGGCTACTTATTCACGAGACTAGAAAGTTCTATTCAGCCGGGCGGTGGTGGCACACACCTTTAATCCCAGCACTCGGGAGGCAGAGGCAGGCGGATCTCTGTGAGTTCGAGGCCAGCCTGGTCTACAAATTGAGTTCCAGGACAGCCTCCAAAACAACACAGAGAAACCCTGTCTCAAAAAAAAAAAAAAAAAAAAAAAAAACCTCAGGATGAAGAAAGACAAAACACCTTCATTTCAACCAAGTTGAAAGTATTCACAAAGAAGCAAAATGCTCAGAAAATAGCTAAGAGTTGAAGGATTGAGGTAAACATGGAAAAGAAAACCACAGCACTGGCGTGTCCTCCTTTGCGTGTCTCATTGCAATTGTATTTAAAGAACAAATACAGTAACTGGAGAGATGGCTCAGTGGGCAAGAGTACTGGCTGCTCGTATAAAGGATCTGGCTTTAGTTCTCAGCATCCACGAGGCAGCTCACCAGTTCCAGTGCACCTGACACCCTCTTCTGGCCTCTGTGGGCATTGCATGCACATGGTGTACAAACATGCAGGCAACACTCATACAAATAAATAAAACTAAACAAACAGCCTACAATGCATTCAGAAAGTGGGAAAGAAGCCAGGCAGTGGTGGCGCACACCTTTAATTCCAGCACTCAGGAGGCAGAGGCAGACAAATCTCTGAGTTCAAGGCTAGTCTGGTCTTCAGTGCAAGTTACAGAACAACCAGAGCGATGCCGAAAAACCATGCATGCCTCAAAGAAAAAGAAAGAAAGAAAATAGGAGAAGAAACAAAAAACAAATTCTCAGATTTTGTTTC